AATCCCTACCAAACAAGCACTAATATGTTAAAAAATCAGGATTTTATATTCTTTGTACATAAAGCCTTTGTTCGACAACCATTATTTGAAAACTTTTTTTTTCTATATAATCATTTTCAATCACATATTCGCACAATAAAATATTCTACACGTAAAACCAAAACTTCCCCCCTTTATAACTACATATTCTTCTAAAAATCACTATTCAAAACATTGTTTTTCCCTAATAATGGTTGTCAAACAGTGGCAAAATTTTTATTTTGCTTAGCATTTATAACCTATATAGGAGTCCACAGGATTAGAGAAGCAAAACTGGTTCTTCCATATAGGTATTTATGTACTAGTTGAATCTCCTTCCTTGCATCATCTACTTTTTAGTTTTTAGGTACTTGTATAAACGACAAGTTTAATCAATCAGTTGTCTTACTCACAGCAACTGGATTTCAATTTCATTTATGATTAATGCTGGTCGGCTAGGGTCAGTGACCGACCAGAATCTAGGGGCCTCACCTCAGCCCTTGATTTGAAAAAAAAAGGCCCCACATGAATTCAAATCAAGGGCCGACGTGCATCCATCTTGGCCCCCTGAATTTGGGCCTGGATTTGGCCATGTATGAGCAACATTGCTCTTCGTTTATAAACTTGGGTGTCAGAACATCATGGAATTTCTGAGTTAAGGTCATTTCATACTATTCACCATCCTTAACCAATTCCACGATATTTGCACATGTGCTGCCATTTTGTCTCTATGCTGACTCAATTGAAAACCTACCTCTAATTTCGTTAATCTGAAATCTACCCCCTTTCCTTCCTAGCAGCATTTTGCACAGAAATGATCTTGTAAACAAAAGAATATGTCTTTAAGGTCCTTGGTGTCAAATTCTTTTATTGATCAGTCGTACAAGCTTGTTTTGTGGTGTTTTAGAAGTTCATTGTCCGCTTGAAACCCGCAAGCGTACGGGATCTTTGTACAAGTAATGAAATATGTGAGTTAAGAGTATCGTTTCCACGAGAAATAAAGTCTAGTTTGTAGTTCAATAGCTACTAT